TATGCACAGGCAATGTTAATAGATCTGGTCAAATTGGTCGTCAAATGACACCGGTTACATATTTGGTAGATGCATTAAGTCCAACTTGAGTAGGAATTGAAATATTGAGTTTTTGACAGTGGTATGGAGATCCTTAAGCGCTAAAAGGAACAGCTAGGTGTCCGACCACATGCATACAATGTAGCTCTGTTTGTACAACATCCATCTAGGATTCAGAGATTCAGATTCATATAAAAAAAAGTCAGGTATGTTGTTAAAAAAAATGACAACTTTTTTTAAATCATGAAAAAATGAAAATAACTTTTTTCAAAAAGTTGGCATTTAAGAACTTACAATGCTTCTTATTAATCTGTGTGAATGGGTAAACAGGTTTTATAAATTACAAAAATGTTACTGTTCATCAGTATTAATACACAAATTACCAATTTACCAGTCTCCTGAGTACACATATACACATATATACATATAGTATACAGGATTGTTTTCCTGTTCAGGTCTATATACACTATATAGGATACAGTGAAATTCTCATATGTGTTTCCCCAGGAGATCCGGAATAGTATGAAATGTTAGTTTCCCCAGGAGATCCAGAAAAGTAGGAAAATGTTATTGTTTCCAGGGGAGTGTGAAACTAATCTGACCAGTAATATGACAACTTACTCCTGACATTTTTAGACAAAAATATGAAAAGGTCATCCGATCACAAAGGGAAAAAGATCACAATAAAATAGCACACCATGAAACATTTACATACAAACTCTTCCTGTATGGAAATCAACAAGGAAATACATGACTCACCAACTGAATTTTCTGTTGACTTGTGATGGCTTGTACGTAGGCTAGATCTCACATATTGTCTTCATAGACTCCCTCAGTCAAACAGAATATCCCCTATATTTCATCATTGTAATTAAAGAATATTGTCACCTCAAATAAGAACATTAACCCCACGAAAAAAAATATAGGTTCTGTTCTGAACCTTTACCAAGCTGCCTTTATACCTATCAAATTAATCACCTGTTGTGATTTCCAGGTACAAACCCTATATACACTGTACATGGACAGGTAAACAAGGAAGTAGCTGATGATCGACACAGGTGTGCATTTATACGTGGATAGACATGATAACAAAAGTGTACCACTATACTGTGTATTTATCTCTGATAATAACAAAACCTCGTTTCAGTGAATTTAAAGTGGTTCATTTCATTGTAAGGAACATGCTGTCTACAAAACTGAGGATATATATACATATGTATATATGTATACACTCAGCGGTTGGATGAATGGATGAATTGTGTATGTGTGTACTCTTCAGCAAGGACAAATTGTTAGTTGTATGACATTAAAAAGGCAACAAATCTGGTATAATGAATTTTTCAAAATGGATTCATTAGATTGTTGTGGAATTCATGAACTAAACTTCAAACTATTAGGCCTAGTATAGACCTAATCATTTTAAAATTGCAGATTATGAAAATTCAGTATATGCTTAAGTAATAGTTGTACATGTATTAATTTTATTACAACTCATTTGTGCACCTTGTTTTGCTCCGGGGGGTGGGGGGGGGGTTTACAAAACTTTCAACACACTATACATGTTTTATGTGTCTTATGTTACACCATGGTCAGTAGCCTACTGACATACCTGTATTATAATTCTCTGCAGAGAATTGTAATACAGATATGTCAATAGAAAAGATATACATAATGGTAGGCCTAACAATAAGTTTGACGCCGCTGTGATCCGTTTGTGTATCAGTGGGTTTTTTTATTATTATTTTATCCTCTCTGAAATGTTCAGGTGTGCCCTTTTTCAAACAAAAATAGGCCTTATAATATCATCAAGGTCTCTGATCATATGTAATTCAGATTATAAGGAGACGTATGCAGCTAGCCAGGATAATTTTTTCTCGACAAACAGAAGCAGTCTTTTGTTGCCATGTTACGTACCTGAACTTGCTGAAGCCGTCTGTCTAACCCAAATATGAATCACCTCCACCGTCATGTGTCATGTTGACATGTATAGAAGAACAGCCATTATTATTTCCCCACAAAATGTGAACATAATATCAAAAATGTATAATCCATTGTCATTGAGCGTAAGACTTACATGATCCTAAAGATGTCGAATGTTGTGAACACACACAGTACAAAGCGCCAGCGTGCAGCATCCATGTTTATTCCAGCGCGAGCATGGTGACCTCCCTCTGGGGTCACAGGTCAAAGTGAACTATCGGCGCTGCATGCAGCCACTGAAGCAGTTTTTAGTTTAGCATCGACTAATTTCGTGCTGATTTTATTGTATTGTGTTTAGTCTAATCTATTTGAGAGCCGACTACATATTGTATATCATATTAAATTCCATAATCGTCAGTATTGACGGAGGAAGGTTATCAGATGAAGATGAGGATATTTAGTGTAAATATGTTTTAGTGCTGATTTTATTATAATGTACAATATTTTGTAGTAGTATTATGGAACATTATCAACATCTCTGTAATAAATAGCTCTCTGGTTATATTTGCCTTCATTATTTCTTTGTGTTATATTTTCTATAAAGTACCCAATACGTACATATCCGATATATTATATGTAAGACACGGGTAAAACTCAGGTTAAACAAATCTCAGATTAAATATACCTGGGTACGAATGTCATGATACAATTGCAAACCACAGCGACATTTTTCTGTTGTTTGGCTGCTACATGTATGGGGAAAACTATATCCTTTTCGCGATGATCGATCAAGATGTATTCTCGAGAAATTACTCATCCAATTATCATCGATCATCACTGATTATGAGATGTTCATCGAGTGCACGACGTGGTTATCATAATATCACGTATACCAACGTTACAGTAATTACAAGTACGTGTTTATATATAGCACTCATCTCAAACAGGATTTCATCCACGTAATGTATAGGAGTGCGCAAGACAAGTCATGATCAACGTAACTTTTATTTATCAAATAATTTAAATTTTGTTCAATAATTGATTTTTGCTTTTTTTTTTGGCTCATTAGATATTATATGTTTCATCAGCGAACCGAGAGAGATGTATCGGGAAAATAGATTTAATGTATAACTGTTATATTATTATATTTTCTTTAAATATTAAGATACAATATGAATGGTTTAACTGGGTCACCTTGGCGGCTCCGCGCTTAACCTTGAAGCAAGTTGCGATATTTCCACCCTGTTTTATTATGGTAAATTGAACTTACACTGTGTAAATACATAATGTAAGCGTACAATGTTAAGCCACTTTCTAATATTATGCCCCTGTGAGATATTTCACATGTTTGCTTCTTGAATAAATGTCTACTTGGCTTGCCATATTGATTTAAGTGAACATTGTACACAACAGACGTTTTATCACGTATTACACTTTCCCCGTCCCACTTGTTGTAATGTATGAGGTATTTACATCTACATGTAGTATACATACAGCGATATCAAACGGATATCAAATACATACTGTACTATATGTAAAACACCTGTTGAAGAACACCTGACCCGGATGTCTACAATGCTATCCATATCTATACATTTTACAGTATTTTGTTGGAGCATATTTTAGAACATATTTTTTTTGTAGCTGTCAGTCAATTGCGTCATATCTGTTTTTAATCATTCCAAGTTACGTCGGAGTGAGGACACGTGTACGTCAGAGTGAGGACACGTGTACGTCGAAGTGAGGACACATGTACGTCGGAGTGAGGACACGTGTACGTCGAAGTGAGGACACGTGTACGTCGAAGTGAGGACACGTGTAAGTCGAAGTGAGGACACGTGTACGTCGTAGTGAGGACACGTGTACGTCGTAGTGAGGACACGTGTACGTCGTAGTGATCACACGTGTACGTCGAAGTGAGGACACGTGAACGTCGTAGTGTTGACACTTATACGTCGGAGTGAGGACACGTGTACGTCGTAGTGAGGACACGTGTACGTCGTAGTGAGGACACGTGTACGTCGTAGTGTTGACACTTATACGTCGTAGTGTTGACACTTATACGTCGGAGTGAGGACACATGTACGTCGTAGTGAGGACACGTGTACGGCGGAGAGAGAACATGTGAACATCGTAGTGATCACACGTGTACGTCGTAATGATGACACGAGTACGTCGTATTGAGGACACGAGCACGTTGTAGTGAGGACACATGTACGTTGTAGTGAGGACACATGTACGCCGTAATGAGGACACATGTACGTCGTTTTCAATACACATGTTTGTTTGGTTAGGTTTTCACTAGCAACCCTCACACTTAAATTACGGAATTGTGAACTTAATGTTTTTGTAAGTCATAAATGGTTTGTTTTTAAATGAAAACTTTTTTTTCAGTAAGTATTGACATATACGTGTGTATATAAAGACAACGTATACTTACAAAATGTGTATACATCAGGGAATCAGTTTTATATATTATAATATATTATATATTTTAGAAGAGAGGACACTCTGAAGATTCCAAGGGTGAATACCACAATGTATGGCAAGAGATCGTTTAGATTTGAGGCGGCCCGGGTGTGGAACAGTCTGCCAATGGAGTACAGAAAGATAGAGGACTACCAAACTTTACGTAGACTGCTCCGCACCTGGGATGACCAACTATGTGCAATTTGCACCAACACATAGTGATATTCACCTCAGGAATTTATCTTTTGTGGTATTATTTCTACTTTATATGTGATATTCTATGTAATGTATAATTTTGTGTCTCTCTTCCATTTTAGTATTCTCTGATATTTTGTTGTTGAATTACTTTATATGTGTATACCTATGTTTGTCGCAAGAATAGTACTACAGTGCTAATGTTATTTTGTTTGTAATATGCGACGGTAAATCAAATTTCTTGAATCTCTTCTTCTTGAATCTTGATTAATTATCGACACACTGACAAGATAAACTTACTATGTGTAAACAAATGTTTCTTAGTAAGTATTGACATATATGATAATGTAAAATGTATATTGAGAATGTATACTTACTGTATGCTAGATGTTAAATCCGTTAGAAATCAGCTCCGCAAATATTTTGCACATTTCTCTATTTCACTCATTCCGACACAAATGAAAATCACTTCCGTAATTGGAAATCACCAATCATGTACAGACACTGCTAACCCATGTTTACCTATACAGCACACCCTGTACGTAGAACACTTAAATTCACACGCCGGATACCCTTACCAACCGGGCCTGGCAATATTGATGGATCAGCTGGCGTAATTTGTACTGCCCTCGGGGTACAGTAGTACAGTACATGCGTCCAAATTCGTCCTTTCCTGTCTGAAACCTATTGAGCGTATTAAACTGTCTGACAGGAAGGATGTACAGCTATAAAACCTATAAACCTATAATACAAACATCTAAGTGATTGTCATTAAATCGACGGCTCCTCTATTTAGACGGTGTATATGTATTGTGAGTATTATACAGGCTGTAAAATTATTGTGTATAAATTGGTACATGGAGACTATCTGAAGCTTGAAATAACGCAAACAATTGTAACCCAACACCAAATGTAGCGTAGATAAGCTATAAACAGTTTAACTATATGATGTTGTGGTGATATTTTGGTCATATTCAGCATTCCTGCGTTTATAATAACTTAGGCGGCGGTATGTAATAATAATATCTGAAAAATGCGACATAACAAGTGTGTAGGGAAATTCAGTTATCTCCCTTTCACAGTGTAAAACTAAACTACACGATAATGTATTCATTTCAGAGAACGTACATATATCTTCAGTGGCGGATGCAGCAACACGTTTTTTCTGTGTCCAAAACTAAATTTGTGGCTGAATCAGAGACGTATACATCTCTGGCTGAATTAAGTTTTGTTTTTTAAATTTGGGCAACACCCTAAATAAATTCCTGTGTCTATCATCATTTGACATTCGACCCCTGTACATTGTACGGCCAATCAAAATTTACCTATGGTCGCCAACCCCCTAATTTTCTTCATTCTTCATTATTTACGGCGACTTAATTATAGTTAGACCTATATACAATTTCTAACGATACCACATAACCTGTAAGTAATGCGCCGAAAATGTACAGAAAAAAAATGAATAAATGTTTGCTTATTTCAGAAGTTTGTGCCTCTCGTGTACATGAGTAGTTCGCTATTTAGCTCGTGATGTTATATGTGGAATGTTCAATGAGCGAACACTATGGCAAGCCAACTTATACATGTAATCAATGAGAAATGGCGATCCTGTATTTCATGAAATTAAAAACATATGTGAATTAGAAATCTTATATACTACTGTATATATTTTATAAAATATATAACATATCTTATATTTGTCATATAGGTTCTCGATTACTTTTATGAAATATCTTATGAAGATATTCATACAGTTTATTATATGAGATTTCACAAATGTTATAGAAGATATCTTAAAACCCATAATATATCTTATAAACACATTTAAAATGTTATATAGTATTAGGTCTGCCTCATACAATGTCATTGAATACAATATTGACATAGCCCGATTTTCCTCTGGCCCTAACACCAGCTAGACTTAGACATCCTGGCCCTTACACCAGACTTAGACACTCTGGCCCTGATACCAGACTTAGACACTCTGGCCCTGACACCAGACTTAGACACTGTGGCCCTGAAACCAGACTTAGACACTCTAGCCCTGACACCAGAATTATACACTCTGGCCGTGAAACCAGATTAAGACACTCTGACCCAGACTCCAGACTTAGACACTCTGGCCATATGACACCAGTCTTTAACACTCTGGCCCTGACACCAGACTTAGACACTCTGGCGATGAAACAAGACTTAGACACTCTGGCCCTGACACCAGACTTGAAAACTTTGGCCGATATATATGTCAGGTGTAGGTACCAGATATCTGTCTGTTAAAACGTCTAAGTTTGGTGTCAGGGCCAGAGGAAATTCGGACTTAATGTTGACATTGCCCTTTGAATAAATGTTATTTGGCTTGCCAAAGAGCACCTATATATTTTTTTCATTTCTATTTTTATAAAAAAAAAATGTATTCCTTATATATCTACTTCGAGTTTACTGTTATACAGATATCTTTGCCATATACTTATATATTTACATTCCAACTGCAAGTTCCTCTATAGTCATTACCAGAGAAAAACTGCCTTCATAGAGCTATGGATGCAATTTGATCAGCGTCATTATGAAACCTCTCCTCCCGCCTCGAAAACGCAAACATTTTGGTGACGTTAGGCTGTACTGGGAATCTTGTTTGCACTTACGACAAAGACACTTTAGTATAAAACAATATAAGGAAATATCTGTATTTAGGTGAATAATAACTAAACATTTAGAATGTAAATGTGAGGATTGAATGTCACTTTATTCATGGTCATACCGGTATTAACGCAAAGCGGTTACAAAACCATGACGCCCCAGCGAGCTTTATGGAATATGCATGTATCATACCGGCATGGAATTAAAAAAGAAAATTTCCGTTCAATCCTTATTGAAGGAGTGAAAAGTGACCCTTCATCAGTTTGTTTCACGCAAACTAGTTGGTAGTATTTATTTTCAAATCATCTGCGTTGTTGCTGATGGAATATAATTTTAAGATACGCAGAGTTATCTCCCTTGCTTTACGGAGTTCTAGATCATACGTATACGCATTCAGATTATTTTCATAACATATAGGAATACTTAATGATTGTGTTAGACATGCACAGGAACCGATTTTTTCCAGAGAACCGATAAGGCAGAAAAAATATAATTGTGTGTAGGTAGACAAACAATTTTATTTAAGTTTTTGTATTTTGATTTTTTACAATATATTTCAACTAATTACGATGGCAATAGATTTGTAAAGAATACGCTCATACTCCCAGAACAGGTAGAAAGTACATGTTAAGGAGTGGCTGGGAACTTTGCCTGGCTAATATATTAATCTTAAATACAAGTAGGTGATAAAATATCTGGGGTCGGCAAGAAAAACCAGGGTAGGTCGGGATACATGAAACGCACATATTTAGTATGGTTCAAATATGTCTACATATTCTCTCCTGTTTAGACACTTCAGTTAAATACACATCCCAATATACAATAGTACATAATACGAAGCTTATAGATATTTGAATACGTTAAGTCTTACCAAACGTTTAAAATTAATTTATAGCGATTTGAAGAATCGATGCTGCTGACAATCATTATATCGCAAGAAACCGGATTTTAACGGCCATGTCTAAATACAAAGTACCGCAGTCAACGGCACCCAAAGCTGTGTATGACGAAGATCGTCATTATAAAAAAAACATCTTTCTGATGTAATAAAAGTTGTGAAATATTTTCAGAAATTGATGTCCATAGAAACGTAGCTATCTTCCCAAAACTATTTCTATGCACTGAGCTGTAACTAGCGTTTTGAAGATACTTTGATGTCATGTTACTTGTCTGTCTGTTTTCGAAAATTTAATACTTCAGTGTCTTTGTCGGTACATTTAGAATGTAATTCATCCATTCTGTACTGTGTGGCCATATATTGTGAACAATAACAGTTAGGACTGAAACTATTTAATCGTTTATTTTATTACCTTACTGCGTTGGTTTGGAGTTAAGAATTATTAAAACAGATTAAAGACAGCCTGTACCCAATAGGTGTGCTGAAATAGCGACTAATGTCGGATATCATTGTATTGTCATTCTATCTTGTAACCTTACAGCAAATGTTCACTATTAAGCGTGACTCAAAATTACCGTTATAGATTTATATTTAATAGGTCACACGATAAATGTATGTATACCACATCATCAACACAGGAAGGTAAAACCAAAATTAAAGTCGATTTGTATAGAAATACTGAAATAGAAGAAATACCAGAAGAAAAGGCAAGACATTATGAAGTCTCAGAAATCCAGGAGATGAAACTAGATATTCCTAAAGGTAATTATGACATGCACCACATGTGGACCCTTCAAGATGTTTTCCGTCATATCAGACAACCACGTAACTCATCAACGAACAACAACACGACCAAAGACCAATGGACAACGTTAACGACCCGGGTACGTTCTTAACCATGATAGACAATCAGGTCGTGTTTATCTTAAACTTAGAACTTTCCGCTAGCGAATCATCGCGTGACATGTAAACTCCATAAACAGGGGACACTGGTATGTTACTACTTAGAAAAGGAATTTTAATGGCCGTGTGAAATTAAAATTATTGCATTCGTTCTAGTTTTGACAGTGTCGAAGGCTACTGTACCGTTTCCTATAGCTAATACACTATGCATGTGGAGATATGAAGCAATACAATAAGAACATGTCTATGACTTCTTTTACGTACTATGTTCTAATAAAAACAACTTTATCACATCCCTAGAGATACGAAAAGGAATAGAACAAACTACCCACACTATCAATAACTACCGAGTCACAAGATGTTTAAGGTAAGACATTCCCAGACTGTCACTGTTAAAAAACATTAAATGTTTAACATATACAAAATTGGTTATAGTTGTGATCCGGTTCCGTTCACTTTGCTCTCATCCTTCATTTTTCTTTCTGGCGGCGACATTTGCTCGTATTCATATCGCTTTAATATTACATGTAGCCTGGACTCTGTCTCGTGCGCTTCTCTTGATGTGCTGCCGTCCATTATTTTCCGGTATTGCTACAGTGAACGCACATCCAGTAAAATGAATGAAACATAAGAGGATTATTTTCAAAATATAATTTATTACATACGTAATAAACACAACAAATAACATGATAATTAGACAAGATGTTGATATGTTTTAGGGGAAAAAATGGCATAGGTGTTTGGCACAAACAAGTATGCTTGCTTTGTTGGTACACACAAACATAGACCCATATTTGACCCCAAAATCACAACCGCATAATATAAATGTGCAGTGTGTTCTATGGCATCAACTTTGTATGAAAATTATATATAGACAAATGATGCCATGGCTTCATGTTTGACTTTGACTTTGCCCAATTATCTTCTATATATTAAAAATGGGTTCCATCTGATTTCGGCAATAATTCATTATTTGAATAATATACAATTTTTTTTTTTTTTATTTTCTTTATAATACTAAAGAAGATATAATTATTTAGTAAAACTAACAGCTGAAAAAAAATATGGAAAAATGCCAAAAAAGATAAACCATTTTTAACTTCGGCCGGGCACATTATCGCTTGCTGACATTTGTTCGAAGGAAATATCATCCGTCATAATAATTCAATAAAAATTGAACGTAAAACGTAACGTATCAATGTGTTTGTATGTAAAGATAATTCATGCTGAAATTTATTCGAAAGTTTGACTCGTGTATTTCAACACAATGAAACCGGATGGCCCCGGTAAGCTTACGATGTATAGGGATTTGATTTGAAGCATGTAAGCACAATTGAAAACGGTTTAATATGTATTAATCTGTTAGAATATTGTTTGATAATTATCTATAACAAATGGATTATAACAAGGCAACATAATAACAATTACTTCAAAATACCGTAAAACAGCAAGAACCCAGCTTTAACTTCAATTCATTTTCATATTAGACACATTTTATTATACAATGATAATGCTTCCTGCGGTACAGTAAGACCTGCGGCACAGTAAGTCATGGGAGTCATTATAAAAGTTTGGAGATAAAGTGGGAATTTTATACATTATCGTTAAAGTATACAGCAATAATGTGTCTTATGACTCGACCAACGACTCCATATGACATTTTTTTGAGGTACATGCATCATAGCTTAAAACAAAATGAAACTACACTGTACCAGCGTATCGAGACGACTGCTAAATTGCGTTTGATCTTAGATTTGGTACAAGAAGTACACGTTAACAAGGTAATGTTCATCTCTCTCAGTCCGATCATAGAGACAACGATATCAAAAATAAACTACACTCCCCGATTTACTACCTTCAAACCGTTCACATCCGCCATCTTCCCGGTGGCTTCATAACTATGGATTTCTCAAAGAAAAGCTATGTTTATATACAAAGTAACACCTTAGATTTGTCTCTGCATTATGCACAATGCCAATGACTCTGATGCAACAAGACTTGAAAGCAAAATCCAGGCAAGCATTAAGTCAGCTGAATGCAAATTAAATTTGCAATCAAAACGTTTTCCGTGTATGTATATATTTTTTTTTATTGTAGCGCAAGATTGTAATATGCATGTAAATCGCTTAATTTTCGCGTATATTTATTGTATTCATGTATGCTTTCTTCGCGGATGCTTGAATTGAGAGGATGACATTTATGTTGATAGTATGTATGTATTCACGGAGAGGATGACATTTATGTTGATAGTATGTATATATTCACGGAATTAATGTTCGCGGAAGATTTATATTTGCGAAGGAGACTCCATGCAAACTTGAGCGAAACTAATCTTTCGTTAAAAGAAAGTAACTTACAGTGTGTCTAAGGCAAACAGAACCGTCTGTTGCTACTTATAATCGGTAAATAGAAAACACGTTTTGTCTATTTAAAGATTTACTTGTAACCTGTTAAAAGACAAGTATGGTTTGTCGTGTAGAACTTCTGTTTACAGTTATTTGTTGTCCATACTTGTGTGTTGTACCAAAGTCTGTGATCCGTCTCTTATATTTACGTATATTACTTTAGTGAATTGTCCAGGGCTTCATACTTGATATATAACCTTGTATATGCAATATGCACTTTTGTGTCTTTTCTTTAATAATTAAGAATATACTATATCGTTTCGAATTGTGTTTCCTTTTTTTTTTTTTTTTAATGTTAACGAAATTCTCAAATTTTTCCGAACTATTTCTTCATTGTTACATGTAGCTTCTCCCAAGCCGTCTCATGACAAGCAACTGTATTACATCTAGCAATATACAGTCACACACATCTATAAAGGACCTCAAAGGACATCGGAACTCAAAGCACTATATTAATGGTATTTATTGTATTGCATTTTATATCAATAAGGGAGATAACTATGAGTGCACTTTCCTTTCAGTAAGAACACTCTATAAGCGTATTTGTACTAGGCCTGTTTTAACTTTGTTGTTTTGTAAAACAATTAACATACTAGTTTGAGTTTTCTCTGATCGATTCGAGTGTAAAAGAAATGAGCTAAGAATTAAGAAATATGTGAATGGCATTTGGTTAACAGAGAAAAGATATTAAAGGAAGGGGAGTCTAATGTCCCTTATTTCTGATAGGTTATAAATATGGTTGTGATATGTTATCTGTGAATAGAAAAAAATGCATGGCTGTTTGTTGATTACTTTGACCTATACTCATATTTATGCTTCGAAATTTTATTAGTCAGATTGAATTTTTAACAATGCAAAGAAATGCCACCTTACTGGTCGCTCAAATACATCATACAAATCAATCATCTTATTAATCAGTTATTTAATTAACGCTTTACAAGGAAAAAATATTTAGCGTGTAACTGCAGGGCATTTTTTTCAATTCGTGCAGTGAAAATAATCTGTTTTCCTGGTTAAAGTTGAAAAACATACAGATATATAAAATAGCATAATCTATAACCCGGTTATTTAAGGTGTTTTCTCTTTGAAATTTTTCCTTTCAAACGAGTTGCGCATTTAGACTCAATTGCTCTAAAATGATGAAATTTGATAATATACAAATGATAATAAATAGGTGATACGTTGGTATTCTATGACAAACTCATATTAATCCATCAGTACGTTGATAGTACACAGTTAACTGGAACTGTGTTAACACTCGCACTATACAATATCTCTTCCACTACATGGAGTATTACGGCATAAACATTGATAATCGCTTCAACATTTGGATAACTGCAAATGGTGATAGATCGTACAAGACAAATGTGTAGGAAGTCCATGTATATTGTTTAAGATAATGTAAAAATAATAATAATAGATTATTGCAAAAAACCACCCAGATAAAACGTTGCATTGTTGTTGCAGTTTGATGAGAAAAAAGTAAAATATATTACAGAGTAGTTAAGAAGTGTATTTACTACATCACAATGGTATGCATCTTTCAATCAATGTATAACCGAAAAATCACACAAGACGAACCAAATCATATGCATTATTATGTGACATTATCAGATTACGTCAATATATTTGTACAAAGGGAGGCCACTCTAGCACTGGATAGTCACCCTAAATTTCAAGTCGTGTTTTAAGCAGTCTTTTCAATTTGATTAATAATACGAGAGAGACAGTTTTGTAGAAAAAATATACTATTATTAATTTGCTGAAAACGAGGTTTGATTAAGATAAGGAAATTTTCTGACAATATATACACGTGAGTTTTCAAACTAAATCGTGATTCTGCTAGCGATCACGCACGAACGCCTCACTGAAGATCTTTATAAGTAAAACATTATTTATATACAACGCAACGAAACTGAAAAACAAAAGGCTAACAAGCATACAGTTGTGAGGTGATTACTTGAAATATATTTGCTTTATACCACGAATTATTATCTTTCCAATGACACAGAAACACGTGTGGCACATATACTAGTATATGCAGTTCGGTACCCATGAGTACGTCATACATTAAAAATACGTTTGTAGTTCATGTCTTAATATAATATGTTATTTCCAATCACGTGATACGTGTAACTTACTGCTTGTGTTTTTTATGTTTTCCGGTACTGGGTCTTCATATTCAAGGCGAAATTCGGAAAAGATTTGAATATTCCAATACTGAGGCGTTTTGGGATTACATGTATATTGTTTATTTAATTTAAGTAATTCGAGGGTACAAAGTTTAAGTTGTCCGAATATAAATGGCACATAGTGTGAAATAAATGTATTTGTCAAATATTTTGTTCTTATGATAAAAGAACTAGTTATTTTCTCACGCCATATAGGCTATCAATAAGCATATATCGAGAAATGATATTATTGAACACAAACTTATCTATAGATAATAGATGAATTACAACAAATTCCTATGGGACAGGCACCATTATTATAGAACAATGCTAAAGACTCATCTTCCGGAATACAATAGTTGACTGTTCTGTAACTACAGCTTAAACTGTATAACAAAGGAGGTAACAATGGAATGCTTCATCGTCTTCGTCGTCGATCATCATCATCATCATCATCATCATCATCATCATCATCATCATCATCATCATCATCATCATCATCATCATCATCGTCATCATCATAACAAGAAAAGAATTATAAATAAATAAAATGATACAATAAATTTCTCCAAACACAAAACGCAATAAACTTAAATGGAATGGTAAATGACAATTTCAGTAGGATGTTGAGGATGGAGTTTAACCTTAGTCACTACTTAAGATACCAACATTCAGGAAAGCTCGTGCATCCCAATATTGATAATAATGTCATCGAAATAAATTCCTATACATGCTAATTTAATTCTGAAGTTCAAAAGTTTTAAAACTAAACAAAATGAAAGGTTTGCGTGAACTCGGTGTTAAGCTAACCAAGTTTAAATACTGGGTCAAAGTATTGAATACATATTTTATACCGGGATTTTTTTGCTAAGCCTAACTTTCGCCGCCCAGGGTTCCTTTCGTCCTTTTTCACTGCCAGAATAAATTCGACCCATTATAGAAGGTGCAAAGGTAAAAATCAAACTGCGGCAAAAGATTTGCATTAATTCAAATCTCATTTCACCATTATATTTGATAAAAAAAAATGCATGAATACGTTGTTATATAACAATATGCATTTTAAAAAGGCAATACGACACGGTGCGTACAATAACAACAAGTTCGTGGGATTCAGGTTCCATCTTCGGGGACTTTGATCGAAAAACATTCATATGCAAATAGTTTTGTGCGCAAACCTTTAGGGAAAACTGGAACGAGGAGCCAGAGTGTAATGTCAGGCTACATAATTCGAATGCTGAGCGTGTAACTAGACCTGATCCAAAAGTAATCATTGGTGAAGTTATTGTCCGCAAACCGTTCGCAAATAATGTGCGAGTGTTTGGGCGGACAAATTCAAAGCCCAAAAATTTGTGAAACAGGGGCAAAATAACTAATCTGTTTTTATATTTAAAAGCGGAATTTCAATAAGTGATCATATGAAAAGTTTTAAAAATTATCCTTGAAAAATTTGGACTAGATTAAACTATTTATAAATTGCGAATAACGCGCAAAATGCGTATTTTTACGCAAAATTCAAAAAGAACTATCACATAAAGTTTCATTCAATACGTTATAACACGTACGAATGAATTCATCACAGTTTGGTAACTGTCGAACAGTGTCTATTTCAGGACCTCTGTGGTCTTGTCAGTCTATGGCGGAATAACGCCGCGTCGTCCTCTTTAATTTGCCATTCTGTCCATCACATTCCGACGAGTGTTGACTGACGGTTACCTTTCGACAACTGTTGACCAATGGCCACTTTAAGTTTATCACAGCTAATGTCGTCGAGACAAATAGAAGGATCTTGATTTTCTGCATTTTAACCGCTATTTTTATCTTTATCTTTTAAATGGATTTATGATTCCATTTCTATGTGCTTGTCGAATGTAATATTGCACAGGCCTTTACTGACGTCAGCTTTACAGAAAATCAGGGACCTGGTATATATATAATATGACCAAAATAGGAAAAGTTTTTAAAAAAGTACTGGATTTCAAGTCTCCTTTTTCCTATGAAAATGTTACATCACATCTGGTGGGGTTTCTGTTTGACAAACCTCAGGCCGAGATAATATATAACAAGATAAACAGATATAGAACCCAATAGCACCAGGCATGCGTCGAGCACCGTATTTCCCTCAAGTGAGTACAGTTTCAGAGCATCTTCCCCAGTCTTTATACAGAGACTCGCTGGTACAGCTCCACATGAAAAGGTTAAGTTCTGTATCTCTGTGAGGCACAGACCCTGGAATCCCCACTTCAGATATGATATACTGGATACCCATTTTAAACCTAAAAGAATGAAAGATAAGAAGTAGGCTAAAGTGACAACCCAATTTCAAATAAATTATTGTTCTGTTGATGTTTCAAAACTGTAATGATGTTATGTTATTTTATAAAAAGTGTCATCATCATCATACAATTAAACTTGATCAACCTTACTTTGCAAACCGTAAAAACCAACATTGAAGTGAAAATTATCATAGCAAACTTGTAACGAAACAAAACGAAAATATAATTCAATGATTATAAATTACTTTCGGCATTAAAAATAAAGGTAAATTTCTGGAAAAGAAACAGTCAATTCAGGTGGAACTTACCAGAAAATATATTTTCCAAATTGATAAAAAATCCCGCTGACATTATATACATAGAGAAAAACGTCTGTGCAAAGAAACATGACAGAGTGAAAGTCGGCATCAGTGCTGATGATAGCATGGCTAGAGAACGGCTACAGTACACCAGTAGGAACACTATGGCAAACACCTGGAAAAACACCTTGACGTCCACGGTAAATCCGGCCAGAAAGAACACTGGGATAACATACACAACCACAAAAAACGAGTGCAGCGGTAACTCACTCAGTACCTGTAAAATAAAGCCAAGATTTATTTCAATCAATAAAACACTCACGCTAACCTTCATTTAGCTTATGGGTAACTCATTTATAGCCTAGCCGTGTAAATAAAGGTAAAAGACATTGAAGTACTGTACACTGCCTTAATTTTAAACTTAATAGTCTTTGCTTGCAACATATGACTTCTATCCTTATCCACTTTGGCATTAATTTTGTTTCATTCAATGTCTATGCATAACATTATGAATGAATATATTTTTTCGCAAACAAATAGAAATTATTTTTAATAGAAGTACAAGTCATCTGCAGTACCTTATTTGGATAAATACATGTGTAACGACAGACTGTTTGAGACAATGATAAGGCAGCTTGATTAGTACATAGCTCTGGATGGTATTTGTATCATTGAAAACGTGTCTGGCATGGAGCCGAAAGCTACCTAGCGACTGTAGAATTCAACGTGACATATCAGACACTAAAGAACATTAATAAGAACCTAAGTCAAGGTAAGTAGTCAGCTCATTTAGTACCAGAAAAATCGTAATAACAAAACCAGAATATGAATTTCCTTGTTTCTAGTATGTGTGAAATTCTAGGTAGTATTTCAGACATGGAGGTACCTTGCTAGGAAATCTAGTAAGCAAGGGAGACTGCTCACTTAGCACGAGTAAAATTCATTTCGATTTATCCAAAACTTAGGTAAAGAATTACTTATTAGTAAAGATAGGTAGCGCATGCAGCACCTTAAACCTAAACACACTGACTAATAGAGTTAGCAAAGTTGGTCGCTGTTTTGCACATGGAAAAAATATGTGACGATTAGTTCGATCTTCACTAAAATCTCTTTGGTGAAGTTGCATACCTCAAAAATATGTTGGTCCGTACAAACACGTCTTCTCTCCTGATTGGAACGTTTACAAAACTTTCTTTTGAAACTAAATTGCTTTTTTTGGGATGAATTCGAACCCGCACGTACTCTTGTTTTCATATTATACAGGTACCAGTAGTAACGAGTCTCTGTCGTGTTTTAATCTCATTGCGCTTACACCTTATAATGTTGTCTGTATGCAAACACACCGTTCCATCGACGCCAGCATCGGAAAGACAATTACTGGTGCAGATTCTACAGCACCTCGAGCTCAGTACAAGTGACTTTATTTTATGCACTCACGCCCCATTTTATACATCATCTTCCATTATTGAGTGTTAATCCTTTTTTAGGATTAACTTCGCATTATCCTGTTTACCATCATTTGAAATGATGTAACGAATCTATTAGTCGACACCACATAATTTCCTTCCCTTTAATCTGCGTTGTATAATCCGTTGTGTGGCATTATCTTTTATATTTAAAGAAATGATGATTCCCCAAAAATGATATGTTCTGTAACAGTCAAAAACAATACGGATTCGATGTTGTTCGATTTTGGATTAAATAGTGTAAATGTTTACCTGGCACGAGGCACGATGTCTTGTGTATAAAAGTCTGTCTCTCTTCATTTGGTTTCGTAATTTGTACAAAATGTTCAAATAAAGCTAACTATGTTTCTTACCCTCATTTTGACTAATTAGTTGGGTCGACCCGGGACAACGCAATTAACCTTCATTTTCAATAAGATTAAGTAACGTGTTCCTTTAGCATCATCGATACCTTTTTGAAAAATTCGTCTTAAAGTCCTAGTAGGTACATGTATTACAGAAGATGTCGTTTGCAGTAGTATTTGATTTGTACAAGTTTCGATTGTATTTTCGTCGAAAAAAGTTCGATGTGTTATGTTAAATGAGGAAAGAAGAAGTGCAACATAATTCGTACACTGCTGTAATAGAGATACAGTCTGAGTAACCATATTCTTGATGTGAGACACACGGTATGTTTTGAAACCTTAACTCCTTTGATAACGGAGTTATAATGTGCCGATATCCATAATTTCCTGATACAATTCAAAATACCAAATAATTTCAAGAAGTAAACTTGAAATAGATATCGTGGCGTCAACACTAAATAACACACATAAATCAAAGACACAACATAACAACAAAAAGAATACGATTGACATCGAAAATAAGAATAAAGCATGACCCGCTCAAAACCGATGTAACTTCGTCATCAATTGATATCAGTTATTTGTAAACATTTTGTTCATACTTGTCATACAGGATTCAGTACATGTATATTTGACGGTTCAAAGATATATGTGCTTATATAAATGTTTAAGTCACACCTACAGCAACACAAACTATATCTTATGACAATCTGCAGCTGTAACTTGTAACATTTTAATAATTGTGTCGTCAACACTAGCCGTTGCCCTTTTTCCCCTCTTGTCAAAAAGAAATAAAATGTATCATTTTAGATGATTATTTTGTGACAAATATGATGAAAAAAATAATTGAATTGAATGACATGTCATCAAGCTGATAAAGTGGATGATATGCTATCTACATAGATATTGGTTAATTAAAATACTGAATATCGCAAAATTATTTGTTATAATATACAGAGTAGCGAGAGACAAAGTGGTATAGAGAAGTAATTTCTGTTTTACGATTTAATTGATATATTTATATTGTTAATAGAACGAAAAGAAATTTAATTCTTAAAAAAATACTTCAAGTGACCATGTGTTACCTTGGCAAAGTAGTAGGGTGTTGGACCGTACAGACCATCCTCCATTTCGTAGTACAGGTAATGCCTTTCGTTGTGATCTATTTAAAAAAAAGTAGATATACAAAACCCAGGGATATGTCATTAATGTAGAATTACCGTAGTCTCAAAAGGAAGGAAATACCTATCGCAAAATTGTTTCTAAAATGAACGGTAGATACACTTAATATGTGTAATTCATCGTTGTTTCTGGAATACACTGATTCAATGCATACCAAGTCTTTGGACAAAATATATTCATGGGTGAAATATGTATATTTTGTTCAATTAACAATATGAAGATTTTGAACTGGTATTGTAAGCACGTTCGCGTCTTCAATTTTTTTTCGCGAGATCAGTTTAGATGTTTTTTAATAAAAACAAAAATAATTAAAAAAAATATAAAACAGATAACATAACTATATATTTGTGTTTGTATATTTACGTTTTATTAATTTATTTATAATTATTGTATTAAGTAAGATGCATATTGTCTCGTTCCATAAGAAAAAACCCTGATTATAATAGTGTTTTGTTGTGCATTGATCGGAGCCGACCTTGAAATATAATAACTATAATTTACCGAGTCACCAATTCCCAGGTTTCACGTTCGCGATACTTATGTAATAACTGGTTAGAATTCATGCATAACGAACAAAGCAATGAACAATTAGGGTACTCTAGAGAACAATATGTATAAACAACACGATTGGTTGAAACTAATTAAAGAAACCTCTAATGGATAATGAAACATCTCTCAAAATTGTTTATGTTTTTCATCTGTAGTTCTGGATGTGAATTACCCCAAACAAAACATAAGCACAAAACAGCGAAGTATGTTTCATTAAACGTGAACAAACACGGCGTACACTTGTACAAAATCATTTCTTCGTCTTAAAAAGAAAACTATTATATTTTTATGCAACCAGCTAATCCCTATTCACGACAACTATATATTAGCGAGAACGGGTGTTATACACTATACTGGGTACTCACATTGAGCGATGAGGTCGAGGATGACCAGGTAAGGATACATAGCTCCAATTATGTACATGAGTCCGAACCAATCACGGACTGTGTTCTGGTCCAGTCCCAACTTGAAGTAGACCAATCCAACCACCACTGACATAGATAGGGCTTGGATAAACTGGGCTGTCAGGAATAGGTAGTCCTCGACCAGGTTCCTAGTGCAACGTCTACAACACGACAGAGGAGGACGTGATAAAGGGTACTCTGTTTGTATGACACAACATGCAGCAATATGATTAAAACCAGATCTTTAATTCCACTCCGATACTCTACGTTAACAGTCAAACCTGAACGTTGATTATCGGAGTGGAATTAAAAATCTAGTTTAAATCAGATTGCAACATGCAGATGAAGTGTAGTCACACATATGAGTGGATGCACAACAGAATTAACACTGCCAAAATATATTTAAAAGAAAAGGCCACGCCAGACTCAGATAATATCACAGTTGTTACGGATTTGAGCAAAAACTGATTAGATACAAAAATGTATTAAAAAAGATTGGAAAAGTCAGTAACAAACAGGTAATTCTTAACCTTGTTCCGGGCATCTAAGCACGTGGGTTGAACGATATAGGTTTCACCGTCAGCAGCAATGGGAGTCATAATGAGTAAACATTGTGGATGAGAATTTTATGAAAACATAAGATAAATAATTAAATCAATGTAATAACTTTGTAATAACTTAATTATTGAATATTCTTACAAAACCAGCTTTATACTAATTTTCATTGTATGAGTGCTTGTTTTCGCAAGAGCCCTAAGTAATAAAACGACTTTATTTTTATGTCGCAAAAGCAGAAAAAAACAGCGACCTTGCTAGTATCGTGTAGCATTATACCGTCGGACTGGTAATGATCAAAATATTACCGTCAGGCCGAATATATGATGTAGTAGATGTTATTGTATTAACATATATCATAATCGTTAAACATTTATTAACTCTAGTATAGAGATTTTCTGATGGCTACTAATTTAGAAACATCATAGTGTCATTAAAAATTATGTATTTTTTTTCCAAATTCATGTCGAATTGATAGCAGCTTGATTGGAAGCAGATATAACCAACCAGTACGTTATGGAACACGGGTTAAGTTAACAATGACACAAGAGGTAAAAAAGGAACATACTATACATTTGTTGACTGGATTTGAGGACAAGATGTGTTATGTTGAACCAGAGGACCAAACTGTTGCCTGAGGCCGAAGGCCGTAGGCAACAGTTTGGTCCGAAGGTTCAACATAACACATGCTGACCGAAAACTCTACAAATGTTTTGTTATAACTTTTTCAAAATTCCTGACGTTTCCAATTTGGATTTATCTTAAAAACAATCCCGAGCTAATGCGTTATGCTTTGCTTCAATATAATCTGTTATTAATTTCTCTGCAACTCTGATACCATTCTTGGTGTTTGTACTGTCTCTGTTATTAAAAATTTCATCAATTTCTGCAGCAGTGTATTCCGAAAATCTGTCCATGATTGTACATAAGGCAGCCGACATACATAAACAATGCAGACGGCCGGAAGCAGACGTGAGCAATACTTCCTATGGGCTGCCACTATTGGTAATTTCTTAACGGCAGAAGTTGCCGAGTAATGGCCGGGAAATACCGAATAGTAATAAGCTGTGACGTAAGCAGTCAACATTTCACTCAAAGCCAGTCAACATTTCGATGTTGACCGGTCAACATTTTTCTGAGGCAAACATCTGGAACTTCGTATAGAGAATATAAAGTAAAAGTTTAACAACAAACAATATTGACCTAGCCACAGAAACATATTTCAAATGTCAGACCTTCGTTTTATTAGCAATAAAACAAATATGAAAACAATCTATGAAGAACGAATGCAATCATCGCATGACGGTATGTCGTTATTCTTCGTTAGAAATTGAAATAATATTGACTTTTTTATTCGAGGAATGCTTATCTGTACCATGAGATATGAAAAACAACGACAAGTACACACGACAACGCAGGTTCCATACCGGTTATAATGATTTGAGTGATATACACGTAAACGCTATTAAAACTTGGAAATACAGAATTGCTAACCTTGTGTATATGGTAAAATAGACAAAAATCGTATCGGCAACACACAAGGGAATCGAACCCCGACAACGGCATGGAAATACAGCAGTAACCAAATATTGCTATAATTCTGTACAACACATCTTTTTTTGCTTTGACTTTGCTAAAACATCAAAGATATCTGCATGAATCGTTACAGTTCAGCTGGCGAAGTCCAGTAAGCTCTCTGTGGGTTCTTCTTGTATTTTTGAATGTTGACATGTAAATATTTCTTCTGTTCATTCTTAATGTTTATTCTTCAGCATTCTCCCTTTTTATGCAAATCTTACCTGTATAAAACGGAGAACTGTCGGAAGGGACCTGGGCTATGCTCTAGATTTTCAAACATCTTCATGACTGGGTATGGCTCGTCAGGGGAGACAACACCTGAGGTTCCGTCGGATTCGAGGCTCAGTCCACGTTCTGTATTTCTCAACTGCCTGCTGGTCTCGTACCGTTGGATCAGTGTGTTCACCGTGTCCGTGCTATCTGTCTCCGTGACGTCAGAGGTACAGTCGATGGTGGCCAAGTCAACTGAAGTTAGAAAGTAATCGAAATGACACAAAACAGAAATAGAATTGATGACAAGTATTTAAAGGTTTACTTTAACGATCACTTAAAGCAGAACAACAAGCTATCATCTGTGAGTCATGACCCTCCCCCCCCCAACCTTCCCGCCCTCTCCCCCATCCATCCTCCCTTCCCCGTGTATAAATAGTTTGTTTTTGATTTTGCACCCAAAACTAATTTGACAATTAGTCAAATAAGAGAAACGACCAAGGATGTTTAATCGAACAAATCTTCTTTATAACGTATTTACTTCAGATAATTTCAGCTGTAAGGTGATATTTTCCAGTAAAAATAACTAAAAATAAGATAACACAGGTTTTTTTCTGTTTGCTATTTACTATAAGATAATGCTTCTTACATGCAATTTGTACCGTATGACTATTTCAAGAAAACATGTGCTATTTTCTGTTTGATCTTGATATTTTTTGTGGTGTTGTTGGTTTATAGGTGGTTGTTATGTCATCGGGATAGATAAGGTCATAAGAAGACGGTATCCTTCGATTATGGAATCATTGAAAACCGTGTAAGGCGTTAGGTAATGATGAAATCCCAACTGGGTGCTGTTGTTTCCTTTTGATTGCTTTTATGTTCACGAGTAAATTAAAGGAAGCAGAAGAAAATATTAAATTCTGCTTGGAAGGTTCCCACAATAATCTCCCGTTACGAATCATGCTGTGGAGAACAGTAGGGGTCCATTCAATAGGTTATTGGTATGCTACATGTACAACTGTCAAAAGGTTCCTGGAGCAAATATCGTAACATCTGCTGTCTTTTACGAAACACAACACACTCAGAAAACAGGACAGAAACGTTTCGGCAAAACCCAACAACGAATTGACGTCATGTTTGTGGGTGTAATTAACGTTGGGGGTAATTTCAATAGTTGAAAAAATACGAGAGTATTTGTCTTGTAGCAAATATACTCAGTTTACACAAGGTAACGTCATGTCTTACACGTTAACAGAGGGAACTCATCCAGTTTCTACAAATATACATCAATTTAAAAGGCGTTAAGAAACGGACGGATAATAAAATCGAAAGCACCTCCTTATTTGATTATACAAATCCATAAACAGACCGAATATATGAAAATATAAATAGCCTGCCAAACTCTTCATTAAGAAATTGATTCAACGCGCGTGCAGCCCGGTATAGATGGCGTAGATACCTCCTCGAGCTCAGCCACTAATTATATGGTCTTCGACCGCTTAAAAGCCAACACAGGAACGCCTTCATTCACAAACGCCAAATCAGTGCGAAATGTATCGATAGAATGTACGTTTGTGCTTAACTCGCCAAAACCTGTCTGGGAAAGAAGCTACCGGGATTGTCGCAGCAATAAGATGCTTATCTGTTCGGATATTTGTCTGCATATTCAATATTGTATTGATGGCAGCATTAACAATTTTGTACTTTTGTATGGATCAGTGCGGCTTGATATTGCTGCATTGTCAGGTAAAACGGTCCAACCTATGGTATGTGGGGGCTCATTATTCCTATGAAAATGACAGAGGGATACAAAGCGTTCTGTGAAATTTAGACAAATAATCAATCTGCTTAAGAATGTAGTCATTTTTTCTGTGACGCATTGTTCCTATAAAAATGACAGAGGAATACGACGTGTTCTGTGAAATTAAGATACATTTTCCAGCTTCTTAAGTATTCAGATTGTTTTTCTATGAATAAAGCAGTTTCAGTAAAAAAGGATACTGATATATCATTGCTTGTTTCATTGAATTTAAAAAAGCCCGAAATAAGATGCTTAAATTTTCATCGTGCAAATATATATCACAAGAGTTAAATTATTTACGATAAAGTTCCAGGTTTAATTAAAGAAATAAAACCAACATGGGATCATTCAATCATGCTGTACAGCATTACAATTAATCAGTATTAAATGATACTGTATGGGACATTTTCGTATAAATAACATGATACCGGGAGCGATGCACAGGCCTCAGTTCACCAGAACCGATCCTCAGTGCACGAGGCATCCTTCTACACTCCCCGCTACATCTCAACGCTACTTTGTCTTTGACATGCTTTGCAGTGCATTAAGTTTCAGTGATGGTTCTTCGTGCCGAAGAGACTGATTGATAGACCAGTAAACACTATTCGATAACTGAATTGTATCACACCCCGCATGATGTATGCTTCTTTTAGAGACTCACGCAGATCACGTCTTACGAAAAAGAGTGCCGGTAACTACGCTCAGAGGATTCATACGATAATTTCTCGTGCAAAAAGATAATACATCAAAATTTACTCAATGGATTCGTATTTGTTTTTCTTTGCGCTTGGGACTTTTGCAAAATTTATGTATTTCTGATCTTTTTTTTTTTACATTATTTGAAAGATATGCATATCATCCTCCAACAATATAGGAATTATTGGTTTTGTAGAGTGAACTCTATTCAAAAATCTATAATAACATGTAAAATGTTTTAAATACACACAGCTTCAATTGCTATATAATTAAGACCTAAATAGAATGTTTAGTATATATTGACATGGAATTGAAAACGGCACAGCATATTTAAAAATTGTAAGTAAATAAGTTGTATTTAGATTTATTGGTAAGTAAAACAATTAATGGAAATTAATTGATTTAGGCAAATCATATAAATAGCGAGATATTGGAAATTGTTCGTTTCTCGCGAAAATCTCGTTAAAACATATATGTCACTGTTAGTAAGCAGTAACTGACCAAACAGCCAATTGTATATGCACATACTGAATTGTTTATGAAGACCTATTATAGTATGGTCGGGATGAATGTCATAAATTGGTTAAAAGTTATTTTATGACACCATGTACATTGTATATATAGATATATTGGTCGGGTCGAGCTGATTGGATTGGCACTCTGTCTGTTATAGTCATTATGCCGTGATATAGCAACCAGCTTACTTTGGGCGAAACTAGGATAACTAATATATGTACACTGGTCTCTTGAGTCGTCCGATAACCATCGGACTGACAACCCAATGTGTTATACAGAGATTACTACTGTAGAATACAATCGACCCAATAACTGGTCAATGTAGGGACAGGATAATGGAACAGTAAAGCCAATCTATTCCGAGAGCCACCAGCCAACATTTCCGCAGTTGTTACAAATTAATTAAAACATGTATATATTGCGACTCAGTTGAAGTTTGTTTTATAAAATCAATACTCTTTAATTCCAGAATGACGGGGAAAACATATACATGTATTTATAATGGTAATTTTGAAAAGGAAGATAACACTCTCTTCCATGTATCCATGATTTTGAAACCAATAACAAAAAATATCTAGTATCCGCAATGGTTTCATTTACGTGTAGTATAATTAATTCTTATCAGTATATTTTGACTCAAATGGCAGGACTGGGCTACATGTACGATCTGGTGGTATGTTTGACAGGCTTGTGTATCAATAACACATTAAACATCAGCAAAATATCAAGAGAGCGGTCTTAACATTGTTTGATTTGTGCTTGCGAATGAACAGTTTAATGTATTATTCAGGGATAGACTTTAAAAGATGACACTATATAGTAAAACCTGGTTATACTGCCACCATTTGTCTAGAGAAGCTTTGGCGATATGATTAGATTTGGTGATGAATTGAAGGAAATGAATAAAGAAAGCCTAAAGAAACATTAAAAAGGGACATTAAAATATGTTTACGATAACGAAATGGCAATCGAAACGAGGAGCATTATACTGAGGTTTTAATTTTTATCTATATGATATACTCACCATAATAGTCACATGGGTTAGTAAGGGCCGGACAAGGGAACCCTTTCTCCGTGAAATAATCTACCATCTTGTTAGCTTCGCCAAAATACACCTGTCGTCCACCTGTCATTATCATCATCAGGTCGAATAAATCGAAAATGTCTGACCTGAAAACAAAATCGTATGCAATCAATAAAAAGCGATAAAAAACGAATAATGATCACGTAGATGAACATTGGTAAAGACAGGTTATCATGGTTGTTAATACTACAACTGGATAGCCTTAAACGTGATTTGACATTTGCTTTGTTAGTGCAAATCAATCATTTTCATTTCAAATTTATTTTATCGTTGCAATTAACAATTTGATTAGTTACATGCAGTGCCTATACAAAACCTTTCCACATAGAAAGACATACATTTCAAACATATATAGTATGTAAATTGAAGATTGTAAGTTAAAGTAAATAGGGTAGGCCGAACCAATTAGCCAGTTATCATTTTAATACAATGTATGCAATATGTACATATAGAATATAAGTCTAACTGGAATTTCAGAGATTTTAACAGGCATATATCAGTTGTTTGTTTAGGGCACTTCGAACGATAGTCACTTCAGTGCCACATTAAGCAGTTACACTTTAATTGCATAAATGTAATGATACATAAGTAAAAATGCGGTAAAATATAGTTGAAATATTCGAGGTTTTTCGAAATAATCCTTTGAATATCAATATTTATACAATATGATATTAGAATTTAAGTAATTAGAATCTCTTTGTATGAATAATGAACGTACATTACCATAACTATTTAAATGTCATATACTGCAAATCTTCGTTATACTGCCACCATTTGTACAGCGAAATATTGGCGTTGTAAGGGGGTTAACACTACATTGAAGGAAATGTATATTGACCTTTTTAACGAAGCAAGAAAAAGGGACATTGAAAATGTTGGCGGTAAACGAGATGGCAAATGAAACGAGGGACATTATATGTTGAATTTTTTGTGTATATGTTATTTTGGTGGTGCAACTATATGCACATTTTCCGATGACAATTGACTAGATATCCCATAGAACTGAATTGTAGACACCATGTTCCATCATTAACATTCTGACAACATAACAATGCCCTACCTCGGCTGGTGTATTGACAGAAGTACGGTCCTGTTGTTTCGTGCCAGCTTCGATAGGGTCTCCACTAGATGGTGGGCCGTGAAAGCGTCTAGACCGGAAGTTGGCTCGTCAAGGAACAGGATACCTGAAAATACGAAAACATAATATCCTGATAGCAAAATAAAGACAGAGTGGCTATCATAAGGTCTTTACTGGTACATTATATAACAAAGCTTTTTTGCCACAATACATGTATAATGAACGACTGATACATGTATATTTGTATCAATTGTCCTATCTCAAATGTACATTGGTTTTCAATGTATAATGAAGAACAGTTTAAATGAAGTATGATTGCTACTTGTACATAATATATATACTTTCAACCTTTAATCAAGGGTCACTGAAGAAGGAAGACACGATCTTTTGTTTTGTTCTTAATGCTATATTGGTGATGCGATGCTACCTTGAACAACAGAACTGATGTCTCATTTATTATTTACAATAAATAAACAACGATATCGAAGACCAGTTTTCTTCATCAGCTACATATTTGACATATAGTTACAGTATGATAATCATGGTCATCGACCAAACGGTTCTATCGTAAAACGTTTCGACTTTGATTTCACAATCACAACCTTTCGTTCCTCAGTAGTAACATACCAGCCCTCGGGCTTTACTATGTAATACCCATAAACCAATTAAATCTCTGCTGTAGAGCCTTTTCTAAGTATCAAGTTTATTATTTTTCATAAATGAGCCTTGTTGAGCAATATATATATATAACCACAAAGCTAGTGTATTCCACTTGGTAAACTTCAATCTGTAATAAGACATTTGACCGTCGCCATCATGCGTTGATATCCGTCTAAATGATTTATGTATCTATTGTGATTGAGTTAATGTTTGTCATATCTTACATCTTCAGTAACTCAATATTTTCTCTGGATTTAACGGAAGTCACATGGTGTGGACAAAACGCTTACCCTTCTTGAACACCTGGGCCTACCTTTGGCTTTTACGTGAGTTCGTGATATCATCTTTTTGGTTTCTGTGTACACTCTTTATAGCTTTTTTTTCGTATTAATTTTGAGTGTTTGTTGTGTGGTAATAAGAGCTCATTATTTGTTTATTTATTCTATATTAATTTTACATTTTTGTACTGGCCAACCGAGCCAGCGTTGAAAATTACATATAGGTGCGATATGATATTCGGTCTGGATTTCAAGGGTGTGGCTTTTCATTTATATGTATTTTGTCACAATACAAATACATACTTTATCCGTTCAACCTTTCATTTCCTTTCGTTAACTCCAGTTAAAACTGTAGCATGTAGTGTAACACATAACATGTAATCTCTCTTTAATGTACAAAATGTACCAATAATAATTTATTCTGTATTTAGTACATCAGCCCGTACCCCGGATTTAATACGCAATACTTACTGGGGTCTAAGAGAAGCTGGACTCCAATACTAACACGTCTCCTCTCGCCGCCCGATACTCCTCGGCTTTCTGCGTTACCGACCTTTGTATCTGACACGTGACGTAATCCTAGTTCTGCAATTACCATGTCAACCTGCAATACGACCAAACCTCCTTATATAAATAAAGATAACATTATAACCCTTTTTCTACCACAATACGCTGTGTTATTCCACTCTCAGATCATTGTATAAACACGCAGACTGTTAGATAAATATGAGTTATATACCACACGTGGTATATGACCTTCAAGAGTTTTGATTGGTCGAGAAGATGAACTTTGACCGGGAAGACTTTTTCCACGTGCTTTTTGCCACCTGCTGTTTTGTTTACGTCGTCGGCTTTCAACATCCGACAATTGTAGGTGATTTTGTGAGGTTATGCGGAAAGGGGGGTTATTAAGGCAATATTAAAAGATGATACTTAAAGATTTGATCGCTAGTTTCCGGCAAAATTGCTACAGACGCTCGATATCGTTTCGACGTCACACCGTCGCGTGTCCAGGTCGTGAAACCAAAACAAGATCTGTCACAGTGTCGGGAAATATTTCGTTCTTCCAACGTCCCGTTATCGCTATTTAGACGGTCTGACTATGGCTGAACTTTCACTATAAACATCAACAATAGAACCGTCACGAAGAAACGTAGACCTATGGTTTTGGATATTGACAGCGATAAGATCGTCTACAACGGTGAGTTACGGTGAGTTCATCACTTGGCGGGCGGCAGACTTCGTACGATATGCTTACGCGCATGTAGTCCGTTGGTAATTTATATAAATTAATGCAATACTGCTACTCTCGACTGATCATGAGATTGTGGTAGAAACAGATCACACGACTCGTGGTTGTTGAGTATGGTATTTATTTCACTCTCGTTAGTTAATTTTCAAAAGTTATAGAAAGACACTCGCTAAAGCTCGTGTTTTTTGTAACTTTTGAAAATTAACTAACTCGAGCGAAATAAATACCATATTCAACAACCACTCGTTGTGTAACCTCTATTTATATGCTTGTATTGTTAGAGCGCATGTACTGCTGCGCTTGTCTTTGTTAAAGAATTATAAAAATAAGCAATCACTTAAACAATACTTATATTATGCTTTTTCAAATCAGTCATCTTAGTTTTCAAAAATTGAAAATAACTATCTACGAAATGTAATAACATAATTATGTACGTCAAAAATATCAAAATGTGAAATGTTTATATTTTTTAATCAGTGTTTTGTTAGTTGTAAGTAGCGCAGTATATTCCTGTCTGAATTAGATTAAGGTTTCTGGAACAACTCGACAATCAGAGAAAAATTGTGGTGATCATTTTTGAAATAGGAGGAATGAATTTATGTCTTACACTAAGAAATCCAATTCATTAGGATAGACAATACTCTCACTTCTAACACATGTATATTTGTATGATAACGCACTTTTCTGATGAATTGAAACAATGATGGTTGGTTATATCTGACCCAACAAGTAATACTAATTTCCCTGACGTTAAACTAGTTGTATTCTTGGCTGGCTCACGGGCCGAAGGACAATATTTTAGACACACAAAAATGGGTGATTGTTAGGAACAACATAGTCAAATATACAGACGCACATATTGTTCAATTCCGTCTTTGCGTATTGCAGAGTTATCTTTTCTTGGGAGCAGGGATTGATTGTTACGTCACTTGTTTGTGAGAATAACGTCATCAATTTTTGAAGAAACGACGTAATTTTCTCACACAGACCAATGACGTAACAATCAATACCTGCTCCGAAGAGAAGATAACTCTGCAATACGCAAAGACGGAATAGAGAAGATAACTTCCTAATATATTGAAGTGTGCACAATAACGATTTCGGTAGATTTTAATATAACAATCGATGTACTTGCAATGAAATATAAAGAGCCCTACATTTTTCTTTAAAACAGACAAGAATTCGATTAATATACAGAACTTAAATAATATCTTCGTTGACATTTGCATCGGTATTTATTGCTAAAACAACCAACGTTTATACGGTATCAATTTTTCAAATGGGGTCTATATGCGAATATCCTGGTGTTGTTCATTTATCTAAATCTGCTTGAATTAGGAATTATGGAGTCTTAGAATACACAAGTTGTAAACCCATCCCACATGCTATTTCTGGAATCCGCTGTCTGAGTAGCAGGCGCAACCTTATTGTTGACAGGGAATGGAGGACGATAGGTCAATGATAACTGGCAGCGAGGTTACGGCTGTATCAATATTTCATGTGGAAGTTTTTTGTTTTGTCTCAACAGCCTAACAATTGATTAGAGAATACTATTACGGTAGCTTTAGGTCGGTGAGAAATTGTGTCCCATCTTCGTCGTTCACTACAGAGGCCACAATACCAATTCTCTATAGCTTAACCGGTCTCGTATCTGTACAGAACAAGTGCTACTAAAATATTTACAACTGCTCGAGACAAAGGATCAAGGGTAATTTCTCATCGTATTTGTTTGACGTCAAATAGCTGCTCTTACTGTTGTCTCCAGTATGATCTGTTGTTCCATATGTGTAAGAAGCCCATGCTAAATTTACAGGACAGAATGATAAACAATGATACAATGAAGGTATTGCCAGTGGTTGTAACATGTGTTGTACCAATCTAAAATATTGTCATTATTTATGATATATGTGAGAAAAATTTGTCTATGTAGGTGATTCACGATTGCTTTAGATAATTTTCTTGTTCTATAATTCACATGTTTATTTATGATTATTTTTTCATTGTTGATGCTGGTGTTGATTAGTTTGTTTTTCTGCAAGCTTAATCCAGCATTTCAATGCTATTGAATATAGATACAAAAAATAACCAAGAATAAATACATTTTGCCAAAAGAGATATTCCGGAACATATTACAAGTATTCTTTTTTTCTCATTCACAGCTGGACTTACACAGAAAAAGTGTTACTTATTTTTTTCAACAGAGGGGAACATTAATTCGTTGAGACGATACTCCGTCTTTAGAAAAACGGATTGAAGCAAATGAAGAAAATGTTTTTGTATAACCTTATCAGCATCAAATATTAAAAAGTTCTTACCCGTTTTTCAACCTGCTTTTCTGACATGGTGGTCGGTAATTTTAATTGAGCAACGAACATGAGTGTTTCTTTCACAGTCAAATGAGCCAAAAGGCGATCATCTTGTCTGACGTAGGCAGAACATGAGCGGATCATAGAGTTTGTGCGTGCTACGTCATTGAGATAGATTTCACCTCTGACCTCACCGCCGTCATTCCTTCCCGCCAGCACGTCCAGTAGACTTGTCTTACCGCTTCCTGCAAATATAAGCCAAAACATAAAGTATTGTCGTGTAGTCGAATCCAATGAATTTGAAATGTGTTGAATTGAATTTTCATATTCACAAAAAATAATTACTTGAACAAGACTGAACAATCATTGAAAATGTTCAGGAATGTAAGGTATACTTGCTGCTGAGTCACTGCTTTGTAAACAGGATGTTTTTACTAACGTCACCAGTGACCAAGCTGGCAGAATGTCAGCGAAACTGTCTGGGTAAGAACATCGTTTTAAAATAGCAGTGACTCGATGAATCTTGTAAATATATTGAACAAGACATGAGTGAAATATGAAAGTCGAATCCTGTAATTAGCATTCAGTGTAGCTGACCGTCTTTTGAAAATATGTTGCGATTTTTTCTTTTATGTGCATGTTGCAAAGTCTTTCACTTCGCATTGCTTTCTGGCATTTCCGGTATTCAGTATACAGTAAAACAAAATCAACGTCAGTTAAAATAATAAGTGAATGCATTCCAACCATAGGATATGCGCTTATAAAGATGATTTTCTTGATTTTCTCTATCTCGAAGGGAGCAGTGGTATATTGTTGAATTACACACACGGCATACAATACAAACACTTGATTGAAATAGAGGTTGGGTAGAGGTAGATTACCTAACACAATTGCCATTACTTTCGTTCTGACAGACATGTACAGATAAAAATCATCTAAAAGTGTTAAGTGAAACACAAAATTTGCATGTAGTTACTGTATTTGTGTTTAATTACCTGAAATGTAAAGTTTTGGTCCTTACCACAAACATTTTGTCATGTTTAAATGTCAACTAATGTCTGAGTGTATTTTCATGTTTGTTTGCCATATTCTACACGCAAAAATAAAATCCATTATCTAATTAACAATTAAAAGTATGCTATCCTGAAAAGACCCAAGGGAAATTCCTGTCATGGTTTATTACAAAATTAAGAACAAAAAAATCACAAAAAAAGGTTATGGAATTGAATACTGTTTTTATATCAAAATTACCCAATTGACACCCTCTTCCGTCGTATTCCAGGACCTTTATATTTTATATATCGTACCCGAGACATTACTCTACAAAAAAACCTTTAAAAAAATCCTTTTAAACACCAATATTTCAATACCTTTCTACTATTAACCATACTTGTAATTATTTCCCTTACGTAATGTTCCCCTATCCCATTCTTCGTGCGTGCGGAATTAAACAGCAGTCAACGCAGGTTGTTTATCTAATACATCATACATGTAAGTTCGTCATAAATATGTATGTAATGACGAGCTACATGTTACAAATGCACACGCCTAGTGTGATCTGATTGAAATCATGTAACTTCCCCTTCTATTTCATGCTTCGGGTTTGGCCAAGGTTATTAATATTTTGAGTTGAAAGGTGATACCATCTCTTGATGTAACGAACGAATTAAGGTTCATTGTGTGTCATGATCCAAATCGACCATCACTTTATGCTAGAACACCTTCCCATTTACGTCATCAACACTAATACGAGACCTCCGCAAACATTCCTTTATATGACAGACGAATAAAACCACTTGCAATTCAGGGAACACCTACCCTTCAAATCGACTTTCATGCAAGGATCAAGTTATGCTAATTTAGTGGAAAATCTCAAATTTAAGGAAAAGTCAATACCTAAAATGTTTGATACAAGTAGAGCAAGATGTCACATCCGATTATTCCGTGAAGTAAACAATATTTTTTTGATGGGTCTTTTATTACTCTTACTGTCTGTTCGAATCGAGTTTGTCGTATGAAGCTGAGGCTGAAGTGCATGTTTTCTATCTTACTTTGCAGTATTTAAAATATCATGCAGTAGCATCGGGTAAAGCTTTACAATGTCATAATATTTCTTTTCTGTCGTACCGTTTGTTTTATGAGAGAAAATATTGCATGATAGGGTCCGACCTTCAACGAAGCTTCCAATTAACATGTTTCCTAGGTGACCAGGAAGTCAATCACTGACCAAGTTGAAAATGTATACTACATGAATTCCAAATCAGACATTACAGACTTTTCTTCATCAGTCGTTTAAGGACATTTGATTGGTGCCTCTGAAGTGCAAATTAATAAACAGTTTTTCACTTTAACCTTTTATTCATGTTTTTTCATAGCAGTGAAGATGTCATTTTGTATCAAACTGAAATGCAGATATTTAACCGGTCGACCTGTGTTAAATGTTCATAAGCATTATCGAATATATCATTATTTTTCACGTGTTTGTGATAAAGGACGTTTACCATGTGTGATATTGCTAAGGTCATATATCGACCCAATCAATACCTGTCCGGCACGCGCCGTATCCGTCCTACTTCCGGTATTGTTAATTAGCACAAAGTTATTAATAAATATTGACGGTGTGAAGGATATGATAAAAAAAATACAATATGTTCATTTTCAAAGCCTACTCCATGGCACATATTTCCCATCGTGGGATTTATGGGCTAATAATGAGATATGGAAATGGCCAAATTGTAACATTTATTTTTTATATTCAATATAACAATATTCGTTCAAAGGTACAGTCTTTTAACCTTGACTGGTGCAGCTTACTTAAAATATACAAATGTATACATGATAAAATTCCTATCCTTAATTATGTTCTTGTATAGTTATGTACTTGTTATGACTAATTGCTCGTGCCAATGTCGGTGTATATGGATATATATTTTGTTAGAGTTGCAAAGTGATTAAAACTTTTTTTTGTATGTAAAATTAAATGTGCTAGATTCTCACCTGTACCATTTATGTTTAACGACGTGATATAACAGACACACTATCCTACGACAACCGATTACAAACACAAACAGTGCACTCGTACTGACTATGTGGTAATGTCGACCATACATTCAAGTTTATCTCGGTATCTCAGTAACTCACAAAAATAGTTAGAGCCTTGGACTTATTCAGAGTACCTTAATCAAAGTTAAACCTAATACAAGTTGGTTTGTGGTTTTAGAAAAAATATATGTTATATTAGCAATCTAATAGTAATATATACAATACATTTCGGGTGCTGTGAATGACGGAATTTCACAATGTTGTCAATGTCATTTAAGAGATATGTCAAATCTCTCAAAGTATGTTGGTATACTCAGACACCCCCTGTGTGTATCTGCTGGTATACCAAACTGTTCTCTACATTTGTATAAAATAACATTGGACTGTGTACCTGAACATTGCCTACACGAACCTAAACAGTTCATTGGCTTTGTCTGCATATATTCCAAATAAATTGCTTTTCATCTGACATTACAGTGTGTGTATATACAAATATTTGTTTCTCAGTTATTCCAAAACAACGTCTTTATGAGACATTACACACCAAACCATTGCATATGTATGATGGTTTAATTAAACGATGTCAATATTAACTTTGTTTATTTGTGCAGTGCATTTGTCGATTGGTATACCAGAAACTGTCTACGCCTGCACGCAAATATGCCAAAAATGTGCATATGTCTGACGAGATAACTAAACACTGCTTACATATCGAAACGATATATTCAAGCAATGCATTAAAAGGTTATGCCTTCAGGTCTGCCAAAATATTATTTATGTCTGTGACATATTAGCAATACCAATGCCTGCAAGTAAATGGCCATCTACTAAAACAGTATAGGTGTCAGTTGATGTAAGACATGGAGTTACATGTATTGAAGTGCACTTTTATATATGACTTGCAGTGCGCTACGTGATAGTCAATATATTTTGGTAAACTACACAGTTGTTAATGTCTGTTGATACCCTGGTTAAGTGTTAAGGCCTCTTGGTACACCAGGCATTAGTGTTACAGTTTGATGCCCTAGCTAGTGCCGTTTGGTAGACCAGAAAAATGCACTTGCATCTACATCATGTGGTATGCCTGACAATTGTCTACGTCCTTTTGGTAATCCAGGTAATACTTTACATCGTCTGGTACATTATGTTATTGTCAACACGTTTGATACACTAGGTACATGTTCTTATCAATGTCTTTGGGATACTAGAAAACATACATATCTTAATTGTTTTGTTCACTGAATAACTGTCTAGGTCCTCTTGAATATAGCATATAACAGCAAATAATTGACAATAAAAAATATTAATAATTCTACTAGTTACCTGAACTTCCCAGGACGGCCAACATCTTCCCACTTGTAACAGAAAACGAGACGTTCTTGAGCACTGTTCTTGGTTCGCAATCGTTTGTCCATTCCCAGGGAAACTGGAGAGCAGATATCCGCTGCCAGACAGACATGTTCTTTGGATTAACGGTATAGTTTAAATTCTCCACGCCTATGTTTACTGAGGGTCGCTGATTAAAACTGAAGTCTATGGCGTAAACGTTGGCCTCTACATCGGTTTCTTCGATGATGGCGGCGGAACCAGCCGCCATACCGGACATCTTTTGGATATTAACACAAAATCACAACTATATTAGTAAAATATAACACAAAGGCTGCCTTTTGCTTCAGATTACGTGTTTCCATTAATACATTGCCAGTCACAACATCCTTTCGATAGTAAACCTAGTAAATGTGACTCGTTCAGCCAAGAGGATGTTACACAATTTTAGTGATAAAGGTGTTGATTTTGCCATTATCATCCAGAAGCTAGTCACCAACTTATCGCTGTCCGAGGTCCAGTCGCGGCTAGCCCGTCCTGTAAGATAGAAAGCTATAAATCAGTTCATGTAATCAGTAGTTACACAGTTAACAGATGTGCCGTTGTTTTGTAGTGAGAACGTGTACATCAACAAAGGGGGATAACCAGCCAGTCATGACCTAACAACAGACACAACATTTGTTTGTAAGTTGTATTTTTGTTTTTGGTATATTCTTCTTTTTTTAATGTTTAATTCTGGTATTGTTTTGCAAAAATGTAACACGAGTATCGTGTCAACTCTACAGGATAATCAGTCGGTATCGTACTAATGATGTTAAACGTTTGCAAACACTGATTGTGTGTTGAGTTATCAGTGTGAAAACAGGGCAAAATAGTTGTAATTAAGTGGTTAATATGTTTTATGCACGTTAGTAAACGATTATGCACGAATCTGTCACAGCTAGTCTAACACTGAATAAAATAGCTGATAGTTTTGGTATTCACTTAAGTTAATTGGCTGAGACGAAGTAAAATCAGACAAAAATATACAAAATTGAGACTTCCAAGTCTACTTCAAACAAGGATGTATTAGGAATTCTCATTAAAATCCAGGACGTGAAATAATAGGTTTCGAAATGATAAATAGGATATTGCCCTACCGCGAGTGTAAGGCAGATCAATCTTCACCCTCGTAGGAGATTCTTGACTGTCTAATCCGAGGTTTTACCGAGGGTAAGATAGTCAAGAATCTAAGCTCTGAGGGTGGAAATTTCTCTGTCATATCCTCTAGATTGGAAATGATCTGTTTTCACGCCCATTTTCTAATAAATAAATAAAATGAAAATAAAGACACACATGTGCACTAAATGTATGTAAACAAATGAACTTTTGTTTTTTTCTAGCTCATTTGTTTCAGCGTTTGAAGTACTATTAATTTATTTGTCAAATTCCATTAATTGCTCATTAAACAAAAAGTAAACAGTTGCAATGTAGTTTCAAATAATGTCGAACCTTATTTGATCATTGACGTCCCTGATTAGGATACAATAATGCAAAAAATACACATCACACTGATACTGGGGTTAAACTTCATCAGTACGCGTGCGAGCATTCCATCTCGCGGTCAAAGGTTTTCCGTCGGCACGAGTGTGCGGTACACATATATGTGTAATTTCTGGTTAAGTTCTCGCTAATGTTTCGTGCTGGATATCCACTCAGGATATGAAAAAGATGTCTTCCCTAACCGGAAGTTTGGACGCCTCTTTGCAATGAAGGGGAAAGCTTTTCTTTCATTAATTATGGCATGTCCTTTCAATAACAGAAAAGAACAGTGGTCTACAACGACTCACGACACTTTGAACACGTTTCGAATGATTCTTCTTCTACTAACAGAGACATACCAAAAAACCTATCTCAGCTACGTAGGTATCAAGCACCATGAATTAAACTCACCTTCATTAAAGATTTCATAACAACTGAACATATAAGTGTTTCAAATTAAATACATAAATATACGACAAACTCTATCGTACTGTGCATTAAATCATTTTGTGACTAAATTGTATGTATTATCGAATATTATTTGGATTGATGTTAATCTATTGTGAAGAAAAAACGTAATATAGGAACTAAACCTGATGTTCAATACAATTGTTTATCTTCAATATTTGTTGTAATTGAAATTGAAATGAAATAAAGGCAAATTTAAAAAGGATTCGTGTTTCTTACAAAGCAATTTGCATCCACATGCCTGATCCTGAGAATACCAGGAAAGTACATTTGTCAAAAACGGTTGAAACATTATTTTCCTAATGAGACTTTGCAATGCATGCTGTATGTATCATGCCTTATCGTAAAAACACAAGGAATGTTTGTTTGGAGTTTAACGTCTTCGCAAACTTCAGAGTGATATGAGGACGGGTGCCTATCGAGACACCGTCTGAAACAGAAAGTAGATAAAAATGAAAGAAGACAGGAGAGACAGGAAAGAAAGGAAACGAAAAAGAAGTGTTGCAATGAAGGCAGCATATTAAGTTTGGTTTCTTCTATGTTGCCTCTTACGATAATTCAGCAGGCCTATTCCTTCCCCGAACATGCACGGGTTCACTAGGAAAGTAAACGCTTTGAATATGTCTCGGACCATGGTTGTTCTACTGACATAGGTGTTTACATGTACTACAAGTAACGCAGCAAAACAGAAGCCGATACTGAAACACCATTGTGCAAACCACATCTCTTTATGACAACAGTACAATATTGTTTAGCATACCTACCAGTAACAATCTTTATTCAGTTTGTTATTTCGGGTTTTCATACATTAGATATCTTGTTGAATCCGCCGATTATTGATTCAATGCAAATAGTATGTATGATTTTTACCATTCGGTGTTTTCGTATGTGCTCAATTGCATGAAACGAATTGATCGAACCCAACATGTAAGCCAGGACAAAATTAACCCCATTTCTTGTAAAATGGCCTAATCAATATTGAGTTGCGCAAGTGTCTGCTAGGCGTGCTTAAACACGCTTCATTGGTCTATCGCTGGCATCAGTTAACAAGGACACCTACTGGCTTTATTACTACATGTCACTACATAATACATAACCTTTCTGCCTCTTTAACGAACAGATATGTACAATGTTAACATCAATACAACTAGCACGTCACTACAAATATCACATTTACCTGGTTAACCATTAATAACATTAGTTAAGTCACACTGCCATTTTTAATATTTGTTCACGGGTACTGATCATTTAAGGACACACTTGCAAAAATAATCATACATATTTAGGAATTAAGCCTGGAGTACTCATAACAACTCATGGGAAAAACCAAGGTTTCTTCGTCTTATCACAGGTCAACACAGAATCTCAACTATGCTCTTAATAAAAGGGATTAGATTAGTTTGCTGTAGACAAGAGACAAATTTCATTTCATGAAATATAGTTCAAACTTACGCAATAAAAATTAATGTTTCTATCATTGGAAATGAAAAATTGACAGAACTGGCATATTCTCAATTGTTTTAAATTGAATATAAAAGTTTTAAACATAAGGCTCTGTAGCCAAAATGTGACGTGATATAGGTTAACCGCTGTCCCTCTAGCGGTATAAATCATATACAGTTTAGAATATCTCTAGGTACTTCACGTCCACTGCTGTTGTTTTGGTAACGCCGTGTTGTCTGCAGTGAGCCGTCAGTATTGTGCATATGTATCCATCGGTTCAGAAGCCGGCCAGCTTATCTATAGGAATGATGAAATGTAATTGTAAGCAGAACCCCGTCATTCAGTTGTGATGTTAGCCATTGCCTACGTGATGAGGCTCTAGGGACAGTATATGACACCCTGTAGTCCTCTATTGTGCAAACTTCTTCCAAAACTCGCATGACATGTAACTATAACACGTATAAGCCTTGCTATAAACAATGTGACTAGTTGTCAGTTGATCAACTCCGACATATCAGAGGAGCCCACGCAATCATCATCAGGAATCACGAAACTGTTCATATCCATACAACCAGCAGAGTTTCTGGGGGGAAAGGAAGTCATGCAGGATAACAGAAGCTGCATCGGAATAATTCACATTTTCCGAATACTGGTTTGCATCATACTTATTACACAAACCACTTAAGAATGGTTTCTTAAAAAAAAACACCCAAAGTCCCTTCTTTCCATCTAATACACTGGGTAATCGGCCAAATCGAATTTGACTTGCACAACAAAACTTCATATGAAACTATGGCTCAGTAAATAATATAGACACGTACATTATGGCATACTATTTCAAACAATTTCTAATGTATAAGTAGAAAGTAATTATGTTGCTGAATGAATCATATACGCTGCCATTATTATTCTTGTATCGTTAAAAGATGAAATGTAGGCCTTGTTTAGATCGTTAGGTTTGACAGTTTTTAGTCATGTTGGACCATACAATTTGTGCGGTTATGATTGATAGATTTTCTATATTTTGAATTATCAAGGATTGAATCATTAACCAAGCGTATTGAAGCAGCCATGTTGTCTGCAAAGGAGATTCGTGGAGATTCGTGGCCAGGTCTATTGTCAGACAATACCTGACTTGGAACTGAAATCAGTCATAACATACAACGGAATTCGCATTGACACCAATAATTCGTCGAAGTTCATTATTGATTAAAGCATGGTACTGTAGTATCATTATCCGGTATTTCGTTTTTTCTGAGTGAGGGAAATACAACATTAAATCAAGATTGTGTCCTTGCCGTTACTGTCATTATTCGTGCACGTTGATAATACATTGTGTCACTCGCTGACATTTAAAAAGTACTCTTCATTCTGTTGCTAGCATGTTATATGTATCCAAAGCTCATTTCACTATGTCTGTTAATGGTTAGTGCTAGATATCCATAAGGTGCCCCAACGTCCCAGTGTCAGTCGAAGACACATCTCTGTTTATCATAATGCGACCCGATGAAATTGTTTTCTGCTTCTTCTTTTAAGTGGGTGGGTGGGTGGATTCTCCGTGTGATTGCTGTATGTAATTTCTTTTATAACCTAACAAAACTGTGACGTATTGAAACGTCAAACAAGTGATGTTTTACTCGTAAAATATTCTCCCCAGCCTTTTTTGGTGATATAGTTTGCAAATTGGCAGTTTTGATCATTAATAGTAATGGGTACCTGAGCGAAAATGTGTTTGACAATACAAAATTAACAGTGTTAATAATTGATATATGTGAACAGGAATGTTTCCCTTATGTTACCGCTATACCTCCAGCATGGTGGCATTTTGTCTGTCTCATCTGTCCTTGGAAACTTAATGCATGCTTAATGAACAATTTACATATATACAAAAGCGTATGCTGGTTTGAAGATTCAATATATGAAATGCATGCCGTCCTTATTTGAAGATTGTCACTATCCGTTGTCGTGTCGAGATCATCTCGTTGCTAACAAAACGAACCATATATATGATATCTAAATCTGGCAAAACGAGATCTGGTATCTAAACCTGAATAATACCTTCCGTTATCTAAATCAAACTCGCATGTTAACAAATATATACAATAAGTATCTTCCCACTATAAACAAATGGAATAGACCCAATTTACATATTTGTTTTATTGTGTCAAAGATAGCAATATTTTTCTGTCACTGGAAATTCAGGTTCGAAATCCTGAAAAAAAGTTATGTTTCTATCATGGTCGTGACCTTGC